GGGTGGCTCAGTCAGTTAAGCGACTGAAGTCGGTTCAGGTTATGATCTCATGGTTCGTGAGTTCGAGCCCCACATCGGTTCCGTGCTCGGAGCCTGGAGCCTGCTTAGGATTCTGGGTCTCCCTCTCTCTCTGCCCCTTCCCTGCTCTCGCTCTCTCTCTCAAAAATAAATACACATTAAAAAAACAAACAAACAACTTTAAAAAGTGTGGTAGAGGCTCTGAGGCTGAGAAGGTAACAGAGCCCCTCCCCCGAATAACTCAAAATCAAAACTAAAACCAAACTAACAGGAAAGAAATCCCCAACTGGGTTTTAAATTTTCCCCACAGTTACTGTGCAATGCTCTTCTGGAAATTCTAAGAATAACATTCTTTCGAAAGAGGTGTTTTGTCATTAGCGTCTTAGGGCTTTGCCCTTTCTGGTGGTGGATAAGAGCGGCATGGTGGCCTCCAGTTTGTGGCCCAGCGCACGGAGGCTGGCACACACTGGCCCAGAGGAGCAGGCAGGGTTGGGCTGGGTGCATTTGACCGAGTGGAGTGGATGATGGGGTCCAGGCCAGCAGAAGTGCTGAGCTGAGTGATAGGGAGGTGAGAACCGATGGGGGATGAAGGGATCCTGCTGGAGGTGGGGGGCATCCCTGTCGCCAAGCAGGGCCAGGCTGGTCCTAAAGGCCAACACTGTCAGACGAAGGGCCTGGACTTGTGCTTCTGCGGGACCAGTGGCCCTTGCAGAGGATAGATGGCCAGGTGGGGAAGAGAGAAACCAGCCCCAGCTTCCTATCAGGCCCTGGCCCCCGCAACATAAGGAGGACACCTGGGTCGTCTTGTCCTCTTTACCCAGAAACACGGCAGACTCAGGTCATAGCTGGGATTCGACAGATCATGCTTTAAAATGCACAGGGGACTTTGTCACTGGCCCCATGGGGATGGCCCCATTCAGACTGCCTTGCTCCAAACCCTGGATGGCTTCCCTTGTCTCAAATACTCACTTACCAGAACCCCCGCCCCCGCCGCTGGGTCAGCCCTGACTGCAAGTCCTTCCCCAGGCTGCTGTACCCTCTTGGGATCCCCTCTCCCACGAAGTTTCCTGAATGTGGATGTGAGAGCCCACGGCGATGTTGTCTTTGCCAAATCCCTGTGGTTTAGGGTTTATGGACTTGTAGTGGTGCTGCTGTGAGCTACCTGGACCCCGGGGTGTTATAAGCACCCAAGGGGGGGGGAACACTCAGAAGTAACACCCTGAGTGGTCTTTTTATGCAGGGGGCCCAGCTGTCTCTGAAGAAATACTGCTCAGATTACCAGTCTTCCCTAAAGAAAGATGTTCTTTCTCCTTCCTTAACAGCACAGTGGGACAGAGCGAGAGCTCCAGAAAGAGCCCGAGGCGCCTGGGAAGGAAGAGAAGGCGCAGCTCTCCCTGAAGGTGTGGTGCCCTGGGGAAGTTCCAGAGGAAGCAGAGCCCAGTGATTCAGGGGGCATTCACGTGGCCACCCGGTGGGGGGGGGGGGGGGGGGGGGGGTTCAGTTCCACAACCCCTCCTCAGACCTTGACTCACGGACAGGTGGTGTAGGGGGAGGTGCCTGGCTGAGTCTGAGCAGAAGGCCCCAGATTGCTGGGGCCACAGCTCTGCAGAGAGCGAGGGAGTCACCTGTCCCACGGGGCAGCTGCAGGGCTGAAACCAGGGTCCCTCGAGGCTGGGCTGGTGCAGGCTTGGGGGCCTCTCCAGTTTGCTTTCTCATTTTTATTTAAATTTCATTAATGTTTGTTCATTTTTGAGAAAGAGAGACAGAGACAGAGTGAGAGTGGGGGAGGGGCAGAGAGAGAGAGGGAGCATTAACTGGGCAGGTGCCTCAGCCGGAGCCCGCCGATGCCGGCCTCGAACTGTTAACCCGGGATTCAAGCAACCTGAGCCTAGTGATGCTTAACCGCTGAGCCACCAGGAGCCCCTTCTCTGCCTTTAACGCAGGGGGGTGTCTCAGATGCCTGGGTAGGTCTGCAGGTGTGCAACCTTGACCCTCAGGGTCTGGAGTCGAGCCCATGTGGACATCGGTACAAAATCTTCTCTGATGATGTCTGTCACTGACTCGTGCCAGGGTCATTCCATCTCAGGTGTCCTGTGAGTTCTGAAGCCCCCTGCCTGGTGTGCTCTAGGGCTGATGGCCAGGGAGCCTGAGCCTTCAGCTCGCATTCTGTGTCTCCTCTGCCCCTCCCTCCTGCTCATGCCCTCTCTGTCCCAAAAAAATGAATAAACGTTCAAAAAAAAAATTAAAAAAAATAATAATAAAAATAAAATCTTTAGGGCTTGGGCTAACAAGTGAGCGCCACTCTGCCCCAGGTTATGATGTCACGCCATGAGTCTCGAAAGCCCTTGCGGCTCGTCGCTGACAGCCTCAGAGCCCGAGCTGCTTCGATTCCCAGGTTCTCTGCCCCTCCCCCACTCACGCTCTGTCTCTCACTAATAAATAAACGTAAAAGAAAAATTTTTTTAAATAAAATCTTTAAAAAAATAAATAAAACTCAACGGGGGGAGTGCTGAGAACCCAGCCTGTTTCCAAACTCAGTGATTCCACACCTCTCCCACGTGGGGCAGGGTGGGGGGGAGGGGGCGACTGCCCTGTTCTGTCTACACTGACTCCTTCCTGATTCTGTGAGCCTGGGTTTGGCTCCTCCTCGGTTTGGGCATCTCCACTCCCGGAGGGGTTAATGTCCATCACCCTACAATGTCAACACAGTAAACCCCGCCCCACCATGTGGCCCCAAAAACCTCCTCCCGGGTGCCCACTCGAGGGAACAGGAGCGCGTGTCTGCACGGGGACTCACGTGACAATTCCCGGAACAGCTTTATTCGCTGAAGCCGAAGCCTGGACACAACCCCAGTGCCCATCAGCTGGTGGGGGCGGGCACAGCAGAGGACGGGTGCCTGACGTGCTGCCTCGTGGGCGAGGCCGGGGGGCTCAGCGGCAGGGGCAGACACGGAGTGGGATTCCATCACGAGAGATGTCCGACGTCCAGGCAGGTCGGCCGAGACGGGGAGCCGCTCCGTGGTCGCGGGGGCTGGGGCGGCAGGAGCGACCACGACCAGGCATGGTTTGCGGGTGAGGGGCCGTGGAAACCCCCCCAAAGTGGAACGCAGTGACGGTTGCCCAGCTCGGTAAACTCGCTGATCGTCTTTGAACTGAGCCCGTGACACGGGTGAACTTGGTGACACGCGCTACGGTGAGGGTCCGGCGAGGCTGCCGTTCGTTCCTGAATAGCCTGCTCCCTTTGTGGGTCCCCCGTCCCGACGGCTCTGGCAGCCTCTCCAGCCACCACAGCACCTTAAGGGAACCCCCAGGGCACCCGGCATAGGGCAGTGGAGCCCTGGGGCAGGAAATGGATCCCTGGTCCTCTCCACGAGGGACACGGGAGCAAGGACAGCCCAGAAGGACTCTTCCATAAGCCGCCTTAGAGAGGCCCACGGTAGTTCAAATGCACCCACACTGTTTCCAGGAAAACGGGGTTCTCCATCGGCAGCCCCAGCCCAGAGAGTCTCCACTGGAGTCCTGCGCTCCCTGCTGGCAGGTGGGGCCCAGCTGGCATGGTGTCACAGCCCATTCTGTCCCTGCCTGCCATCCTCCCACAGCCCCGCTCTGCCCAGTGGCCCGCCCCCCCCTCCCTCCACGCTGCCCTGTCCCCTCCCCAGTCCGGGAGGGGGCCCTCTACGGGGGTGTGCTGGGGCCGGGGGACAGGTGGCTGGTGCTGCTCAGGCTGTCCCCGTCCAGCCCGAGAACAAAGCCTCAGGGACAGAGCGCCAGGCAGCTGCAGTTCACCCTCTGCACGAATCCGCCCACCCGGTGGGCGTCGTCCAGCGTGAGGATAGCGCCCGGAGGGAGCCCCCTCCCAGTGGCGAGGCTTGCCACCTCCCCGGGGACCAGTGCCCGGTCCCATATGGCCAGGCCCGCCACGCTCCCCACAAAGGCCTCGGAGCTGTCGAACCCACCCCCCACGCTGTCTTGCTCCTGGCCCAGCACAAGGGACCCCCCTGGAGGGATCTCGTAGCCCTCCCTGAAGCGGGAGCCAGTGGCCACTAGCCTGCGGTCTATGTGGAGCCGGTACCTGCCCAGCGTGGACGTCCAGATGACACACACGTGGTGCCACCGGCCATCCAGCAGTGGCTGCAGGGGCAGCTCCCTGAAGGCCGGGTCTCCGATCACGAAGTGGACAGAGCCAGGGACCAGGGAGTCCCTGCCGTGCAGCACGAGCTTGTTGTCATTCTCCTCGGTGGCGTAGGAGAGCAGGGTGCCCAGGTGGCCCGAGGCCACGCGGACCCAGCTGCAGACAGACAGGGCCCGCAGGCCTGCGGGGAAGCCGGGACTCAGGAAGGCGACGTTCTGGGTGGAGGCGTTGGGGAAGACGAGCACGGGGCCCACGTTGCAGGCTGGGGACAGACGGGAGAGTCAGCCCGGGCACCAGGGGGCTGCAGAAGCACCCATGACCGCGGGCACTGCCCTTGCTGTGGGGCACAGGCCACAGACCCCGTGGCCGACCTGCCTCAAGCAGTAACTGCGAGGGTGGCTGTGCACGGCCCTGTTGGTCCTTGCGGCCGAACCACCAGCCTGTCTCGCAGCCGGGGACACCGGGAGCTGGGGCAGTCACACAACTGGGCAGAACTGAGCCCCCCCCCCCGGGGCTGCTGTAAGGGAGCCTCACAACTTAGAGGCTCAAAACCACACAAATTCAGGGTCTTCCGGGTCTGCAGGTTGGAGGTCAAAAGCCAGACGTGGGTCTCTCTCCCGGACTCAACTCACAGCGTGGGCAGCCGTGGTTCCTTTGCTGCCCTTCCAGTCTAGCGATGCCCCCACTCCGTGGCTCACGGCCCCTCCCGTACATCCGTCTAAACTTTGCCCCTGGGGTCACACCTCCTTCTCCGATCCTGACCTTCCTGCCTCCCCTAGAAGGGATAATCCCGGATCCCCTCCCGTCTCAGGATGCGTCATCGCAGACGGAAGTTCCCCTTGCTGTGTGAGGTGACGCATCCACAGGGCCCAGGGATCAGGACTTGAACATCTTTGGGGTCATTGCCCTTCAGGTCTGCCTGACCAAGGGTCCATGGGGGGGGTGGCGGTGGGCCCGGGGCAGCTGCACCTGCTCCGAGGTCCCGATTGGCAGGCTGCGGACCTACATCTCTAACTCGCTGGCCCACTGGACTCAAGAATGAAGGGGCGTTTACCCCGGGTGGCACCCCAGTCCTGTGTGCCCATCTGTCCCTAACGCCCAGGCTGCGGGGGATCCGCAGACAGACCTTCCCCTGCACGGCCCCCTCCTTCCCGCCAGCAGGTGCGACTGTGAGGCCAGTGTCCTCTCCGCACAGCTCTGGGGAGAAGGCTGTTCAGAGGGGACCGGAGGCCCAAGGAGGCACCAGCAGGGGAAGGGCGGGCCATGGTACTTACCCTCTCCTGGTCTCTCGGGCGGCCGGGTCCGCCGGCTGCCTGGGCCTGGTGGCTCCCGCGTCCCCTGGAGACGGCCGGCGAAGTCCTGAGGTGGGTCCCCGGGCTCAGGCGGAGCTCTGAGCGCCTGCCCGCCCCTCTGCAGCTTCGGGGAGCCTGGGCTTGGCAGCCCCAGCTGGGGCAGGGGCAGGGGCGGGGGCGGGGGCAGGGCCGAAGTCGGCCCCGGGGCCACGGCGCCAGGACCGGCCACCTGCAGCCGTCCCTCGAGAGCAGCCAGCCTGGCGCCCTGGCTCTGCACCAGGTGCGTGAGGCCGGCCACCGTGTCCTGTAGGGCCCGCAGGGCCAGGCCCAGGCCGGCGAGGCCGTCCCCCTGTGCCTCCCGCTCCTTCCCCGCCTGGGCCAGCTGCCTGTCCCTGTCACTCAGGGCGGAGTCCAAGGCCAGCAGCCTGGAGTCCAGCTTCCGGCTCCTGCGCTGTGACTTCTGCACCCAGGTCTTGAGGTGGCTCAGGTCACCCTGCACGGCGGCCTGTGACCGGTTCACGGCCAGGGCCACGGCCTGGGTCTCTAGGGCCAGGCTCTGGAACCGAGTGTCAATGTCGTAGGACAGGTTGTAGTTGCTGGCAAGGCCCCGCAGGTGTGTGAGGGTCACCTCTTGGAGCCTCCGAAACTAGAGAGAGGACACACAGCCATCACAAGGGCCGAGGGCCGGGGAGGACGCGGCACATGACTTCCCGCTCGCGCGTCTGGGCGCCTACCGAGCCCTGGCCGTGCTCCGCACTGATGTGATCCCCAGGCCGCTGCTGAGGGGTGGGCCGATTACCGCGGCCCCCGGGGCGGCTGAGCTCAGAGACGTGGGTGACCAACCCGAGGGCCCCGGGCTGCACTAGGTGGGGCGAGGGCTTCGGGCTCCCATGCCCCCTCCGCCCCACATCCCCCATCCCTGTGACCCTCAGGGTCCTGCCCCCCCGTGACCCTGCGCCCCTCCAGCTGCACCCCCCAGGGCTCCCCATGGGGGAGGGCTCCCAGCCCGACGCCCACCCAGTCCCATGGTCACTTGGCTTATCTTCATAACAGAGCCTAAGAAACCTTCTGTGCTGCTTTCCAACCACAGGTGACAATAGCATCGGTTGAACGGAAGAACCGAGGACTCCACGTTTGGGTCCCCAGAGCGCCGACAACTTCCCACTCTGTTTCTGTGACACCATCAACTGCCCCGCGTAACTGGGCACCCTTACCTGCTCTTCTAGTCTGCGGAGCCTCTCGAAAAATGGTTTTCTTTGCACTGCAGGGCCGGCTTCCTGCGACAGAACCCCATGCAGATACACAGGCACAAAAATAAGGAAGACAGACAGGGTCGTCCGCGGGCCGCCCATCCCGAGGACGCGCACAGGACGAGGCCGTCTGCTGTGTGCTCCTTCGCCACCCACAGCCCTGCTCGAGTGCCACGGGAGCGAGCTTCCTCCCTCCACCACCTTCGTGCAAAGCATCTGTCCGCCAGCCGGCGAGCTCTGGGGAGATGGTCACGTGTCCCAAGGACACGAGCTTAAAAACAGAGGCAAACAGTTTCTCCGGAAAATAATTCTTCTGGGTGAGAGCCCTGGCCTGGCTGGCTCAGAGGCAGACGGAGGTGATGGCTTTAGCAGGGACGCACGGACTCGTGTTCCCACCAAAGAGAAGCGGAAACAGGACAGGGCCCAGCCAGGGCCAGGGAGCCCCCGGGGCCAGGTCTGCGGTGGGGTCCAGCGTGCTAGTCCCATGAGGCCCATCTCTCTCCTCTGGATAAGGCAGAGGACGGGGTTGGGAGACGTCTTAACTTATTTTGGGGTGTAGGTTGTGTGGTGGGCTGCATGGTGGTCCCCGAAATGGTAGGTCTGAGTCCTAACTCTGTGAATTGCCTTGTGCCTGTGAATGGGAGTCTGTATGGAAAAAAGACCCTTGCGGGTGTCATTAAGGGTCTGGCGATGAGCCCATGCTGAATTAGGGTGTCCTTAGAAGAGACAGAAGAGGTGAATACACGGGGGGGGGGGGGGGGGGGGGGGGAGGCCATGGGAAGACGGAGGCAGAGACTGGGGTGACGTGGCCACCAGGAGAGCCAGGGGCCGGACGAGGCAGGAAGGGTCCTCCCCCTGGAGCATTGAGGACCTTGACCTTGGACCTCCATTGGTTACTGGCCATAGGCTGCTGCCCAGGACGCTGCCGCACTTCCGGCCCTCTGGGGCTCCCCCTGCTCCACCCTCCACCTATCACTCTCCCAGGCCACGTTGGATCCTTGCTCCTGCTTCTGTCTCTGTCCCTTGTGTTCCCCTGGCCCTGGGCTCCTTCACCTTTGTCATTTTGCTGCCATCGAAGGGGCACCTGGGGGGCAGAGGAGCCATGCATGTCTGAGCACAGCCGCGTGTTGAACTGGCCGTGCTTTTATCCTGCTTCCTCCTTGCATCTCGGTCCCTACAGCTGGCCCTGGGATGAGGTCCCCACCTGCCCCATTTATTTAGGCCGATGGCTGTGCTAGTGTAACCAGTGATCGCCACAGGGGAGCTTAAAACAATGGAAGTTTATTCTCTTGTAGTTCTGGAGACCAGCATCCCAGGGCCCTTCTCCTTCCTCCCCAAGGCTTCAGGGGAGGACCCCCCTGCCTGGTCCAGCCCCGGGCTCTCCTTGTGGCCATGTCACCCCACTCTCTTCCTCTGTCTTCCCACGGCCTTCTCCCCCGTGTCTCTGTCCTTCTGTCTCTTGTAAGTTACACTGCTCCCTGGATTCGGGCCCACTTGCATAATCCATTACGATCTTGAGGTCTGTAACTTAATTACATCCACCAAGACTCTTTCTCTGAATAAGCTTGCATTCATGAACTTGGATCTACTTTTTGGGAACCACCATGCAGCTTGTGACAGGGAGGTTTGAGAGGCTAGGGGTGTCCAGGGATGGTGGGGAGGCTGGGACACGGCACAGGCTTCAGTGAAGAGACTCGCGTGAATCTGGACACAGAGCTGCCGGGTCCCCAGTGCCTGCTCGACCTCCTGCAGCTGGCGACTCCTCTGCACGTCAGCTCTGCCGCGGGATGTGGTCAGGTGGCTCTCTGGAGCCGAGCCGTCTGACCCCGGAGCAACCACCCCCCCCTTTCCTGCCATGTGACTGGTCGGAATTGCGCTGCACCACGGGTGTAATGAAACTCACACTGGATTACAGGACTTCATACGAAAAAAGAATGTGAAAGATCTCACTAAGCATCGTACGTTACATGTGACATTGAAATGGTAATATTCTGGATCGACTGGGTTAAACAAAATATGTTCTTGGGGCACTTGGCTGGCTCAGTCAGTAGAACACGCGACTCTTGATCTCAGGGTGATGAGTTCAAGCCCCGTGTTGAGTGTGGAGCCTACTTTAAGATGTACGTATATATATATTCGTATTGTATATGTAACACGTATGTTAAAATTAAAATGATTTTCACCTGACCTTCTTACTGTTTTAGTACAGCTAACAGAAAACTTAACGTTACATATGGGGCTCACAACCTATTGTGATGGGATAGCATTGCCTGGGGAAAGACTGGATATGCAGCTGTGTGCAGGCATGTAAGCACGTGTAGATGTGCAAGTCTGCAGTGTGCAAGCATGTGTGGACGTGCAAGTGCGTGCAGGTGCACTGCGTCAGGTGACTTTCAATCTCCTTCATCGTCAGTTAAAAAAAAATAATTTTAGGGGCGCCTGGGTGGCTCAGTCGGTTAAGCGGCCGACTTCGGCTCAGGTCATGATCTCGCGGTCCGTGAGTTCGAGCCCCGCGTCGGGCTCTGTACTGACAGCTCAGAGCCTGGAGCCTGTTTCAGATTCTGTGTCTCCCTCTCTGTGACCCTCCCCTGTTCATGCTCTGTCTCTCCCTGTCTCAAAAATAAATAAAACGTTAAAAAAATAAAAAAAATAATTGTAGTGGAAATTATACACAAAATTCACTTATTTTAAGGCTAATGCTGAAAGCGAGTAATTGAAATAAATGTCTACATATTGGCTTGTGGGACTCTGAGGTTCCGCTAGCTTCCAGAAAGCAGCAACCAAAGCCAGGCACCTGCCCCCACGTAGGTAGGAGGGTGGGAGCTATTTAAAAAAAATTCTCTTAGATTTTTTTGTTTTTATTTCACTCTAGTTAGTTAATTAACACACAGGGCAATATTGGCCTCAGGAGTAGAATCCAGCGACTCAAGGGCGGGAGCTTCCTCGGGCCTGGGGGAACTTGCATTTACCAACAAAAAGCACCTCCCTTCCCCCATCT